CTGGACTTGGAGAGACGCACAATAGCAGTGCACACGGTCTGCTGAAGTGGCACTCGTATGTGATTCGAAGCAACACATGCTTCGGTGGGGATGTTGGTCTCGGTTGCTCCTTTCTTGAAGTGAACGCTGTCTTCGTATTGCAAGCTTGCCTTTTTATTTTGCGTTTTAGTTCCTGTTTTTGTTATGTTGTAAAGCTGGGGAGAGGATGACGTCATCAGGTCTTCTCACTGTGGCCATCTTTTCGGATGGTTCTTCTGATCCCCATCCCCAGGAGGTTCGCTCATTTACGACACCGCACCAAGTCGCAGGATGTTCTGCTCTTATCCTAATACGCAGCGTGGCGTGATGCAGGTGTTGGCTGAGTGTGGCCTCTACCCGTGCCATGACGCGCCGCGCGGGACCGTGGGACGCCAAAGGACCGTCGGCAGCCTTGAGGAGTGGGACGCTCTGTTCTTGACCCAGCTGAGCTGGTGTTTGTTTACCGCGGCGGTTGAGCGGGCCCGAGGCACTGGCGGGTTTTTAACGTGGTCATTGTCCCGTCTCGCCTCGGGACCTGCGACATCCGAGGCCGAGGCGTCGTGTGCGCACATCCTATCTATCCCTTTGGCAAAGCTGTGTGGTCCGACAGACGTACGGTCTGCGCCACAGAAACTTTGGTCTCCCCAGATTGGGACTGGGTCTTATTGTCTGCCTCGCCTTGGAGACTACAGCAGGTGTGCGCCGTCCGGCGGCACGGTAGCGTGCGAACTGCAGGTCTGCCGGATTTCGGCAGCTACTGATTGATGTGATGATTCTAGTAGGAAAGGACATCTGACATTGGACTTGTTTGGTCTCCGTGCCCTATAGCATGAATTGGTAGACCATGGTTTGGTGCCAGAGACGAGCTACGCTATGGTAGTCGTGAGGTCAGCATCTGAAGCATATACAAGCACGTGGTAGTATGGAAGAGCTGTTTTCCACTTTGGCGTTTTTCTTCTGCGAGGAGGGGGAGCGGCGAGGGCGCGATTGACGGCGGAACCGGTCAAGTTCGCCCTTTCCCACCATTTGCCTGAAAGGGCACCATTAACCCTCCGAAGCCCCAAACTTGGAATGAAGCTCGTTCAGCTCGCATCGGTGAGATCACGCGAGTCTGCCCTGACTCGCGACACACGCAGTGTGCAGACATCCCACCCTTCGGACTCGCTTGTTCTGCCTCACGACTCGACGCCGTCGGTCGTCTGGACTTGGCCTGGTAGCCCCTCTCCCTGACTGATCCTGTTCCTCCCCCGACTGATCAGTTGATTCGGTTCGTGAGCTCTCCTCGTTTACCTTCGCGTCGCCCGTGGACGACGAGCAGTGCCGACCTATGCCCATCAGCCGTTCAGCGGCGCCCGTGCCCGTATCGGCCGGTGCCGGCCGCGCCGTGTTCGTTATCGTGACCTGCGGCGCTCCGTCAGCCCGACCGCGACCCGGGTCCGCGCTCCCGGCCAGGAGGACCGGCGACGTCCTGCGGCACCGCTCCCCGCTGTGGGGAGCTGCTCCCGCTGTGGGGGGCCGCTCCCGCTGCGGGGATTAGTTCCCCGCTGCGGGAGCCGTTCCCGCTGTCGGGAGCCGCTCTCGCCTGTGGGGATCAGCTCCCCGCAGTGGGGATTAGCTCCCTGCTGTGAGGTGCCGCTCCCGCCGTCGGGAGCCGCTCCCGCTGTGGGGAGCCGCTCTCGCTATGGGGAGCCGCTCACCGCTCCGCCTCCAGTGGCGCATCGAGGGCAAATCAAGTCGAGGTACATTAGGTGCGGAGAGGCGTTAAGCAGATCGCGCTTGTTAGTCGTGGTGGTCATGGTGCTGTTTTGATCCGATTGTTTTCGCTCGAACCCCGCTCGAACCCCGCTCGAACCCGCTCGAACCCCGCTCGGTTTGTTGGCGGGATGGTTTGCGATCATTGCCGGAACAAAGGTTTATCCAAGGCTGATGAGTGCGGCATGCAAGATTAAGCTGTGGTCCTATTCCCGCGAAGCTTCGGAAAAAAATAAACCTGGAATGCCTTATCGATGCAGGTACTTATCTAGCCGTTTTTATTGACGGATGTCGTCATCCGGGGCGCGGGCTTTGTGGCATCCGCCATTGATAACGTTCGTTTTCGCGGTCCAGCTTCGTGGACACGGGTTTGGATGGTGCAGTGTCGATCGCCATCTGACGTCTTTTCCCAAGCCCACAGCGACCTTTTTAAGGCATGCTCTTTTGTCCGTATGTTATGAACAGTTGATATCTGCGTTTCACTTGAAGCGTCAGTAGCATCACCCCGGTTATGCCGTGGAGACTGGTGAAATTCGTGTCGTGGGGGGAATTCGAACCCTGGTCCCAAGTGCTTTATTCGGTCACGCCGCGTATTGCCGGGAAGCGTACTCATTAGGACATCAGTTATTACGAAACGTGGCCGATGCTGCCATCTTGGCGTTCGCATTATAGCATATAACATAACGCGTTATAACATGTAGCATAAACGCATTATAACATATGATATAGCATAACGCTTGCGAGAATCGGACAGGTTTTGCAAACTGGTTTGGTCCGTTTAAGCATTCCCATTCGACGAAAATAGCGCACCATGAAAGTTTTTATCGCGTTTCCGAAACCAAAGTGGGTTTATCTAGAGCACTATTGGGAGATGCTCAAGTGGTGGCAAAGAGAAGATAAGCTTGCAGCCGGCCCACAGAGGCGCTGACAACGCCACGGTGACGTCACACCAGCGCGATAGTCTGGCGGGGGCTGGCTGGGAGCCGCCAGATGGCCTTGAACCTAATTGGGATAGTTCAGTGCCGGGCGTCCCCACCAGCCGGCAGCCGCCCTCGCCCTTCTTGAGTCTCAGCCCCGCGCCTTTATCGGGACGAAAGGGGAGCGCGGGTGTCGTGTTTCGCGGGCTTCCGCGCGATGCGAAACGCTTCGCAAGACCGGATGATACCACGCACCCAGAGCTGGGCTGCGATCCCGACTGCGGTGTCAGGCATTTCACATGCGCGAGGCTGCTTGTTTTCGCGCGTGTTACGGCGAAGTTTTGGACGCTGTGCGCTGCCGTGTCGGCCACTCGCTGGCTGTCAATGACCGCTCGAGCTCGGGTGTCCGGCGCCCCCCATGAACCCGCCGAACCCGCCGAGGGTTCATGTCGCGTCCGGCGCCACGACATGAACCCGCCGCTCCGGAGCTTCTGAGAAGGCCCGCGCCGAGCCCGTGATGCGCTCTGACCCCGTGACCGGGCCTGCCAGCGCGAGCGGCCCCGCGTCGCTCTCGACGGCGAGCAGCGCGCCCAGAAACAATGGTCGGCCGCGTGTCTGGTGTCGGCCACTGGCCAACATGGCGGCCGAATCACGAGCGGGCGCGTGACGTCACCTGTCGGCCGCGCCGCCGCCCCGCCGACGGCGGCGGCGGCGGAAGCGGGACGTCGAGCGGTGGGCCGGCCGGCGCGGCTCTCGTGACGTGTCGAGTCACGTCACGGACGGACTGTCGTGCCGCGTGACGTGGCCCGCGAGCGGCTGCTCTCCGGCGGCGCCGGTGGACGGGCGCGCTGCTGGGGGCCGCTGCTGGCGCGTGCCGTCGTCGGGCGGAGCGGGGCCGGACTTTGGCCGGGGGCCGGTTCGGCGGCGGCGGACCGGGCCTCGCGCACCGGCTCCATCTCCGCCCCACCCGTCAGCCGCTGCCGTCGCCTCTGCCGGGCTTGCCGGAGACGGGCGGCCTGAGATCTTGTGCGGCCGTGTGTATGTATGTGTGTGTGTGTGTGAGGTTTGTGTGTGTGTGTGATCCGGCCAGATGGCGGCGCGGCAGCAGGCCGGCCGCTGATCAATACCGGGTGGCCGCTGGCCGCCGCCGCCGCAGCCCGGTTAACACGCCTGGCGCCGGCGGTGACGCGCGAATGGGGCGGAACGGGGGACGGGGATGGTAACGGGGGACGGAGACGGAGACGGAGACGGAGACGGAGACGGAGACGGAAACGGAAACGGAGACGGGGACGGGGACGGGGACGGGGACGGGGACGGGGACGGGGGACGGGGGACGGGACGGGACGGGCGGCTTGTGTCCCTGACCACTGACCTGTGGTGGGAGAGGCCGGCGGCGGCGCTGTGTCCGTGGCCCGCTGGGGCGGCGCACTGATCTGGGACTCACCTCCCTTGCCCCTGTCCCTGTCCCCGTCCCCGTCCCTGTCCTTGTCCCGCTCTCATCGGGCCTGCTGAACAGCGGCCTCGTGACGAAGCCGCCAGGCGCGGTATAGCCGGCGGGCGCAGGCCGTCCACGAGAGCGACGGCTGGAGGCTAACGCCGCTGTGAGCGAGAGCTGGTGTTGTTGAGAACGTGACATGGAGGTCCTGGCGCCACATGAAAGACCGGTCGGGCGTGGGTGAGGGATCAGGATCACCTTGATCATGGCGCTGGGGCTGCCATTGCATGGCATCGGCCATGGTCGGTCCGTATCGCCGTGACCTTGGGCCACTCGACAGGGGCCTGAACAGACCCCCACCCTCGGCGATTGTGGACGGGAGGGATGGACTGTAACAACGAGCGGCTGTTTTCGAAACTGAGACTGAACCAGGCGAGTTGGGATTAACCCCGGTGTCGCAAGTTGGGGACAAACCATTTGGAATTACGTGGTCGGATGCAGACGAGGCTTAAGTGGACGTGACTCGCGGATGACATCGGTTTCTGAGGCCGTCCCAGGGCGCTCCCGGCGCCCTCCAGCGGCCGTTGTGACGCTGCTGGGGATGGGTAGCCATGCCGGCCCCGTGTTTCCGGCGCGCTCCGGGGCTCGGCTGGGACGCCATTTTGTGTCGCCTGCCGCTCCTCTGTATCGGGTGCGAATGAATCATTGATTAGGCGCGGAATGGTGCGCTCTGGCTGGAGGGTTTGCAAGGGGGTTTCTCCATCTCCGACGCCTGTGCTGCGCGCTTCACGCGTGTGATGAACCTTTGCATCGGTGAAGCGCGTGTCAACGCAGTTTCTCTGTCGCCAAGTGCTGACGCGTCGTTCCTCCGTCCGCAGGCTCGCCCAGCATGAGTGAGGGCCGCTTCTACAACATGAACAGCGCCGGAATGGCAGCGCCGGGTGAGTGACGCCGGTCGATGGCCACGGCTGCTGTGCGCTGCACGCGCCGCACCCGCGCGCCGCGGCCCGGGCGCGCTCACTTCGTGCCCGACACAAGCGGAGCGGAAGCGTATTTATACCGGCGCTGCCGGCCGCTGCCAAGCGCCGGTCATCGGCCGCCATGTTGTGTCGGCGGCGGGTCCGGCGACCGGTGCCCCCACGCCCGCCGCCGCCGCCGCCGCCGCCGACCGCGCGCGCGCGCGCCGGCCGGGTTTTCTCCGCAACTCGAAACAAACGAGCTTTCACGGCTTGATCGGCGCGCGGTGCGGCCTCCCCCGCCGCTGGCCGGTGGACTGGTCCGGGCCTGGCCGCCCGGAGACCGGCCGACAGCGGCGCGGCTCCCGTGTCGGGCCCCGCTGCTGTCGCAGAGGCCGCCGGCTGTGCACGGCGCCGGCAGGGAGCCGCTGGCCCGGCGCGCCGGCTCGCCCGCTTGGATCGGACGCTACGGTCGTGGAGGCGTCTCCGCTGGAGAACCGCCGCGTGGCGTGAAGACAGGCAGACTTCGTCGGCGACGGGGCCAGGCCGAGTTGGGCTTCGGTCACAGCTGACGTTGACAGGTCACACGTCTGTCAGGCCTTGGCTGCAGGCTTCCGGTGGTGCGATGCCTGACATTGACAGTCTATAGCCCGGCCAGTTCGCTCGAAGGCAGTCGGGAATTGGGGCGTCCATCGGACGGCGCCCAGACCCAGCGGTCACAGCAGCCGCCCACGCGGTGAGCAGACCCATGGTTTCACGATGGCGGCGACGCTCTGCGGTGGCCGCGTGCCGGGTGGTCACTCAGCCGGGAATGCGTTGCGCGCGCTGCGTTCCGGAATGCAGCGAGCCGGTTTTATCTGGTTGACACGGCAGCGCGGCGCCTCCAAGGCGCGGGCCGGCGTGCGACTTCCCGTCCGGTCGCACTGCGAGCGTGGGCACGATTTAACGTCGTGACCGGCGGCAGCACCCCTCTGGCGGTGACCCGACCTGGCGCCCGGGGTCCTGTGGCCGGTCACCACGGTCTAGCTGGCCGCCGTCGAAGCGGCGCGGCGCGGCCATTGCCGTTCCGCCGCCGCCGCCGCCGCCACCGCCGTGTTACGGTACGGTGGCGGCGCGCGGCGGCGGCTCCGACATCTGGCGCGGCGGCGGCCGCCGCCACCGCCCGGCTATCGGGCCGCCTGACGCATTTGGGTCCGATGCGTCCGCGGCCGCGACCCGGCGCGATCGGCGCTCGCTGGGGTCGTCTCGCCGACTGTGCAATCAGCTGCTTGGAACATGCCAATGCAGAGCGGGTAGTATGCGTTTTCTCCTCATCTACCGGTTGTTAGCGCCCGGGGGCGTTGGCGCCGCGCGAGCCGCGCTACGAACGCCGCCGCGGCCGCGGCAGACGCGTCGCGCGGCGCCGCCCGCCGCCGCGGGTGGCCCCTCTGGTCTTTTGTCGCGGCCGTCGGTCGTGGGCGGTGATTGCGTGACCGTCGCCAAAATAAGTTCCGGCCAACCGGCGGCCGATTTGCTGGCACGCCGCCAAGCCGATGTGACCGATGCACCAGTTACCCGAGTCAGACGTGCCGGGCGCATCTCGCGTCACGTTGCGCGCCGTTGACGTCGGCGAAGTGACCCGCTCGCTCGCGCTGTGCAGTGTGCGTCGTCTTGGCGCGGGAGGGGCGCTCCGCGATCGCCCGCCGCGCCTCTGGCAACAGCCGCCTGGCGCGGCCTTGGGATCAGCTGTGTGAGTCGGCCGACCGCCGACCGGCCGGCCGCGCGGCCCCCGCGCCGCGCCGTCCCACTCGGCCGCGCGCGGATCAAGTACGCGTGCCCCCGGCCGGCGACAGGTGTCGCTGCGGCGACCGGCACCGGCAGGTAAAAATGAGTGCCGGCGGGCACGGGCGTCTCTGCCGCCGCCGCCGCCACCGCCGCCGCCGCCGCGGCGACTCCGCTGCCGACCCGTATTGATTGGCCGGTCTGCTTGAGAATGGATGCACGGTGGGCGGGCGCGGCGGGCGCCGCCGCCGCCGCCGCCGCCGCCGCCGCCGCCGCCGCCGCCGCCGCCGCCGCTACCGCCGGGTTCGGGGAGCGGCGCCTCCGTCGCCGGCCGGGTGCCGACACCGCGCCCCGTCGGTGCCCCTCCCCAGGTACGCCCGGCGGCCGGCGGCGGTCGCAGGAGCGTCGCCGCCGCCGTATTGATTTTCATCCGGTTCAGTTCTGCAAATGAGACGCAGGAGCGGCGCGCGGCCCCGGGGGCGCCGGGCGGTCACCGCCGGCGTCCGCGGCACTTTGTCGGTGACCAGGGCGGCGACGGGACGGCTGCGGCGGTGCTGACCAGAGGCGGCTCCAAGCGCAGTTCCATTACCATCGGGCTTTTGCTGATACAGCTGTGAAGCGTCGAACGGGGTCGAGTTTGGATGTTTGTACCCCCAAGAAATGCAATCGCTGGGTTATTTCGTACGCGACGCAGGCGCTCGTCCGTGCGCTCCGGCGGCGCGGCCCGCTACATTATCTGCCCCGGCGGCGCCGCGCCGCGATAAGCTTCCGTTAATGCGGAGTCCGAGCGGGCGCCGCGGCGCGCCCAGCTGCTGACGCGGCTCGTCGCGCGCGGCCGACCGGCGGATTCATCAGAGGCCGCTTCGCCTTTGTGTGTTCACGGAGCCGTTCCAGTAACACGGCAGCCCAGTGGCGCCGCCAGGCGCGTGACGCGGGGGTGAGCGGCCGCGGCGACGCGCCGGTTGCCATGAATCTTGCCCGCCGGCGGCGAGGCCTTGAAGCGCCCGGCGCCGTGGCGGACCAGGCGCGGCGCCTTCCTCGGGACGGTGCGCTGGCGGCGCCCGTGCGTTCCGCTGGCCGGCCGGCCGCCGCCTGCAGCCGGCTCGCTATTTCTGAGGTCCGCCAGGGTGCGCGCTGTTTAGCGGCCGACATGTTTGGAAAAATAGTGCCGGCCCGCCGCCACCGCCCGCGATCGATAATTTAGAGGCCGGCGGGACGGCGCGGCCGGCAGTGTGCGGCGAAAGGTCAGCGATCGCCGGCGAGCGACGGGCGTGACCGTGCCGACGGCGTCCGAGGGGGCAGGCTCCGCGCGAGGTACGTGACGGGCGCGGCGCGCCGCCGACGCTCGATGATTAACCTGGTATTGATTGGGGCGCGCTCAGCTGGCAGACGCGTGCCGGCGGCGGCGGCGGCTCTCGGCCAGGCTCAGCTGGGTGGTGGACGCGACGGCCAGCGCCGCCCGCCGCCGCCGCCGCCGCCGCCGCCGCCGCCCGGCCCGGCACCGGGCGGCAGCGATGGCGGCGGCGGTAACTGCGTAGCGCTGTCACCGGCCAGCTCGGCGCGAACGGCTGATGCTTCCAGGGGTGGCGCGGCCATCTGCCGGCAGCGGGCGCGCGGCGTGCTGCCATTGTTCGCACGCTCTGTCCCGGCGCGCCGCCACTCTGTCCCGGCGCGGTCGAGTTCGAGGCGCCGCCGGGGCGTTATCGTGGCGGGATCCGCGGCCCCGGCTAGATACCGGCGCCGCCGCTGTGAGCAGCAGCGCTCCGTCGGACGCGTCGGCACTGACGGCGCTACGGCAGCGGACCAGGGAGGGCGGAGGCGTCAGCCAATGGTGGGTGCAGCCTGCCGGCGTCACCTGGAGCGCCGCCGGCACAGAGCGTCCCACGGCTAGTGAGTGCGCGAACGGGACGCGCGTGCGAGCTCTCTATGGGTGACATCGAGTCCGTGTGGGCGTCCTCTGCGGCGGAGATCCGACGCCGTGCCGCCCGGTGACGTGCCTGTCGCCGGTCGCACCTGGGTCCGGGAGACACGGCTGCCGCGCCCGGACCGGCTCCGCTCCCCGCGCCGTGCGACCCGTGTCGGGACGGGCGCCGCGGCGGCGGCCGCGGGCGGCGGCGGCGGCGCCGTGACGACAGAGCGCCGCCGCTGCTCCGCGCGGCCCGCCGCCGGCGCCGCGCCGCCCGCCAGCGAACGGTGCGCTGGGAGGCGACCGGGCCGCCCCGGCCCACGTGACGTCACGGTGCCGGGCGAGACGCAGTTGTGTTGTGACGGACGGCTAAATATGGCGGCCGGCGCGCCGCCGCCCCGCGCAGCTGGACTGGGCTGCTGTGTGCCGAGGGGTTTGCTGGGCGCGTGGCCGCTGGGACGATGTGTGGCGCCCGCTGCCGGCCGCCGCTGCCATTGGGCGCAGGCTCCGCAACGGGGACGCGGCCGCCGGCCGTGTCTGGGTGGGTTGTTTGGTCGAGGGGATGCGTTGTGGGCCGGCGGGTGTGTTGTGAGTCTGTGTATGTCGCGGACGGTTTGTGTATGTTTGTGTCAGTGTGCCGGGTCCGCGGTGTGTGCAGTCCGGAGCCGCACGCTCGGCGGCTTCGCCCGTCCGGGTTGTGCAAGACGTCTGTGTGGTGAGTTGTGGTCCGGCCAGCCCGTTGGCCGGGGCGCCTGCCTGCGGCCCGCCCGGCCGTCGGCCGGCGCCGCCGTCCGCCCAGAGAGGCCGCGCCATCGATCGGCGCCGGCGGTAATTGTCGCTCACCGAGCCGGGATGCGCCGTGTCCGCCGCCGCCGCCGCCGCCGCCGCCCGTGTCCACGCTGACGTCATGTGTCGGCGGAGGCCATGTTTGGCGGCGGCGTGTGCGAGTGCGGATCGGCGCCCGGCCGGCCCGACGCGAGCCCGCCGGTCGGGTGCGCATGCGCACTGGTCGCTCATGCCGGCAACGTCTGTCCACAGGTGGCGTGAGCGCGGCCAAAATGGACTCCCTGCAGGCGATGGACCGCCGGAAAGCCGAGCTGCTCGAAGCCCGCTTCGTCGGCAACCGGGTGAGTGCGCGGCCATTTTGCCACCGGCCTCGGATAGCTGACGGTGGACCGGGCACCGGCTAGCTGACGGTGGACGGAGCGCCGGATAGCTGGCGGTGGACCGAGCGCCGGCTAGCTGGCGGTGGACCGAGCGCCGGCTAGCTGACGGTGGACCGAGCACCGGCTAGCCGACGGTGGACCGAGCGGCCCGGACCCTGCCGTGTGGCGATACGCGGCGCTGGCGGCTGCCGGCTCTGCGGTCAGGTGCCGGCCGTCCCGGGCGCCGGCGCCGCGGCCGTGTCGGGCTCGCCGCGCTGCGGGGCTGGGTCTGGCGGGGGTCGCCCCGTGACGTCACCGCAGCGCGAGCTGGAGCCGCGGAGCTTGTCCGCCGCACGCGTGGCGGCTGCCTCGCAGCGCGGGGCTGCAGGCAGCGTGGGCGGCATGCCACGCGGTGCTGTCGGCCGCCGTAGTCGCGCGGCTGGTGTTGCGGGGTATCATAGGCGGTTCTGCCGTCTGCGTGTTCGGCTCACCGCAGGCGAGCGCGGCTTATTCGGGTCGTCGTGGAACTGCCGGCGCTTCTGTGTAAACACGGCGCGCGACGCGTGAAGAGCAGCGAGCGGCATCTGGCGCGTCCGACGCTGCTGCGGAGGCGGCGGCTTCACACCCGTCTCCGGCCTCCCGCCCGACATGCCGGAGCTGGACCGAGGGCGCGGCAGCGGACCGCACCGCCCGCCGGCTGCCTGCCTGTGGTGCCCGGCCCGCCTGCCTGTGGTGCCCGGCCCGCCTGCCTGTGGTGCCCGGCCCGCCTGCCGGTGGTGCCCGGCCCGCCTGCCTGTGGTGCCCGGCCCGCCTGCCGGTGGTGCCCGGCCCGCCTGCCTGTGGTGCCCGGCCCGCCTGCCTGTGGTACCGGGCCGCCTGTCGGCCTGCCGGCCGGAGCGAGCTCCTGCAGGTCCGCCAGGGGGCGCCGCTGCGCCGCCGCGCCGCCGCGTCCCCGGCCGCAGCTGCCGCGGTTGCCAGTCGCGTCTCTGCCGGGCCGCAGGCGTCCGTCCTGACGGTAGCGCCGCCGCGCCGCCGGCCCCGGCTGCCGCGGTCGCTGGTCGCTTCTCTGCCGGGCCGCAGTGCCCGTCCTGACGGTAGCGCCGCCGCGCCGCCGGCCCCGCCTGCCGCGGTCGCCGGTCGCTTCTCTGCCGGGCCGCAGTGCCCGTCCTGACGGTAGCGCCGCCGCGCCGCCGGCCGCAGCCGCGTCACCGGATGGCGGCGCGGACGTCGCGTCACTGACGTCACTGACGGCCGGTCGCTGTGTCCGCAGGTGGGCCCGCCGCCGCCGCCGCTCGGGCCGTTCAGCAACGTACAAGGCAACGACGGCTCGAACCTGAGCACCGGTGAGTGGCGCAAGCCCGCGCCGCGCGCTCCCTGACTCTTGGACGGATAAACGGGCTCCGAAGGGCCATCTGAAGGGTTGTTGGGCGCGATTATTGACGAGATTGCGGTCAAATCATCGCCACCACGGGGCTTGGAAAGGCTTGCAAGTTTGTGGGTGATGCTGGGTGTGCGGCCAGATATGTGTGCAATCAGCGGTCCAAGGCGTGTTAAGCCGTACCGGTCTGATCTGCTCACGACCCGCCGTGTTTAGAAGCATCCCGTTGAGTATTGAGTCGTATCCTGTGCGGGTTATAAGTGTGACGGGTCATGTTGTGCTCGGTTGCTCCTCACGCTATGTTATTTCGTCTACCAGCCGCGCACAAGGCCTGGCACGAGTATGCGAATGACCTTTCAGATGCATTCACATGAATGATGATTCTGATGATGAATGAATGATTCTGCGTCTTGCGTGGGGCCGTTTGTGATCGCCGTAATCCGGCGTTACAGAGCGCGTCCAGCGCGGTCGGGTATGGATGCTCTAGTCGGATATGGATGATGTTGGCGTTCTTGAGAAGGCTTACTGCCCCCGTGAAATCTGAGCGGTGATACGGATGGGCGAGCAGGTTATACTGATGAACATGATGACATTGATCATGAGGGAGATGGCAGCGAAGGCTTTGATCGCGGCACTGCAGATGTGAGACACCATGGTGCTGACTGTGATGTCGACGGTGGCGTTACAGGCTCGGTCAGCGACAAGGAGGAGGCCAACTCGCCGGACAAGGGCGTGCCGCCGGCGCCGCCGCCGCAGGCCCGCACGCCCAAACGCAAGCGAAAAAACACGGCCGCGGACGACGGCGGTGCCAGCGGCCCCAAGCGCGCCGACAGCAAGAACAACAAGCTGATCAACGAGTACTTCCGCGGCCCGGCCGTGGGCCCGGCGCCGGTGCGCGCCGCGCCGTCCCTCCCGGTGCGTAGCGTCGGGGCGCACCAGCCGGCGGCGTCGCGGCTCCTGGCGGTGAGGCGTCCTCCGACCTTCTCGGCATGCCGCCGCCCTGTCGAGCGGAGCACGCTCTCTCCCGCCCGGCTACGGACGCGGGCCGGGGCTTGGGCTCGGGCACGGGCTTCGGCTCGGGCTCGGGCTCGGGCTCGGACTCGGGCTTGGGCTCGGGCTCGGGCTCGGGCCCGGGCCTCGGGCCTCGGGGTTCGGGCCGTTTTGGCCCCCGCACGGGCCGGCCATCGTAGTTGGGTAGTTGTGGCATCGGCGCACCCCGGGTGGCGGAGTTGTGGCCTGGCCTGACCTGGGCTGACCTCGGGGCCGTCGCGGCCGCCGGCGGCCTTCCTCCGTTACCGGTCTGTCCGGGCTGGTGTAGCGAGCCGAGTCCGCCTCTCCCGGCCGGAGCGAGCCGTAGTCCCAGCAGATGTTGCGCCGGCCGCGTCGCCGTCTCCGTGTAGTTGGTGGATGCACGCCGTGACTGGTCTTGGTCTCGCATCAGCGGCGTTTACGCCGCGCTGGGTGCTTGGTTTTCTGTTTGTTTAAGATTTATGTCGTCGGATGACGCGTGACGTTTTCTCATGGATTCGCGCATGATTGATCCTCGATCCTCCCGGGCTGCTATTCGCACGACGTGAGTATTCGTAGTGCTATGGCATGTGGCGATGTGCATTGCCTTCGTTGCTCGTTCTATGTCGATTGAGCGTTTTACTGATAAATAGGCCACACGATGTCTGCCGCCCTCCGCCGCAGTACCCGGCCAGCCCCCCGCAGGCCGTCCGCTGACACTGCCACCCTCCGCCGCAGTACCCCGGCCAGCCCCCTGCCGCCCGTGTCCCGCAGGCCGTCCGCTGACACTGCCGCCCTCCGCCGCAAGTACCCGGCAGCCCCCCGCAGGCCGTCCGCTGACACTGCCACCCTCCGCCGCAGTACCCGGCCAGCCCACACGGGCCGCTGCCGCCCTGCCTGGCGGACGGCTCGCCGTCGCCGTTCGTGCGACCCACCGGGGTGGCGCCGGCGCCGGCTCCGCACGCCGGCGTGCCGACCCGCGCGCCCTCGCCGGCCGCGGCGCTGGCCACGGCCGCCAGCACCGCCGCCGTGGCCGCCGTCACCCGCCGCTGTCACGGCGCCCGCCACCAGCAAGCTAGTACAAACGACGATGACTGGCGTGGACTTTCGGGAGCTGGAGAGCCAGGCGGCGTCCAACGACGAGGCGCGGCGCGACAAGATAGAGGAGATGGGTCGGGTGAGTGGCTACAGCCGGCGCGGGCAGGCGCGGGCTGGACGCTGCCCGGTGTTGAAAGGCGAACAACACCAGCTAACCGTGGTCGATAACGGCGGAGTATCGCTCGTCAACTGTGAGGGTGGGGGAGGGGCTGAAGCCCGCCGGGTGGCGTCGTGGGCTTGAGCTCGCGTGGCGCGGCGCGGTGAGGGTGGGGATGTACTGAAGCCCACCGGGTGATGTGGTTGGCCTGAGCTCACGTGGCGCGGCTTGGTGAGGTTGCGGAGGTACTGAAGCCCGCCGGGTGGTGTGGGCTTGAGCTCGTGTGGCGCGGCGTGGTGAAGGTGGGGGAGGGGCTGAAGCCCACCGGGTTGTGTGGTGGGCTTGAGCTCGCGTGGCGCGGCGTGCCCGGTCCGACTAAAGTGGTGGTCCCATGGAGTTGTCGGTCGTGCGAGGCTCTTTGCCAGCGGTGAATGGTAGGTGGGTTGGATGTCACGACCCACTGCGGTGCTGCAGCGGCATATTCTGCTAAAAACGCTCGGTGCGGGAGTGGTCTGAGTGCTGCTACGGTTCCGTTTTGGTCTCGCGATGTTTCGAAGCGCGCTCTTCGCACCGTCTCTGCCCGACCACAAGGGCATCATGGCAGTGCTCGAGCCGGGTTGTGAGCCGAGTGTGCTTGTAAGATGGCAAGCTACTTCTGATGCGCTGCTGATAACGTAGTTCGGTGTCGCTGATGCTCTATGAGGGTAACGTCGACCGGCGCTGCGCCCAGCCAACCGGCAGCGGTGCAGCCGCCCGACCCAGTCATTGCAACATATCACAATGACGCAAGCAATGGCGTGGATCTGGACAACCACAGGGCTGGCGGCACAACCATAACGCAAATCGAGCTTGACAGGTCCAGGTTCTACGAAGGCGGCTGTTTAGAAACTGCGGTGCACTCCCTCGGCCTTGCCATCAGGGCTCTCCAACACACTGTTCTTCTCATTGCGCGAGAATTTCCTTGAATGGCGAAGGTACTTCGACCGGCATGTGCTAGCGGTTTCCATTTGACTGCATCAAGCCCGTCCCATCGGTCGCATGCATCATAAAAGCGTGCACTGTCGTCATAAAACGCGACGCGAGCGGGCTAATCGTTTTGCCTTGCATGAAGCCACCAGACGCCCACAGTCGCCACTGACAGGCACAGACACGGACACAGACGCCGCCGGTCGGTCTTCGGGCGGCTCTTTTGAATCGTCCCGGCGCGCCAGGCGGTTGGGGCGTTGTCATGACGACGGTCCAGTGCGTCACGCCAGTGGTGACGTCATAGCTGTTCAGCCACAGACCTGACGCGACAGGATGTTCCATGCGCTGTTAATCAGCGGAGCTGTCAGGAGTGCAGGCGGGGCTCTCATGTTATTTACGGTTTGCGTATGTTGGAGAGGCCGCGCCCGCCGCCGGTCATTTCAAAAGATGGGTCGTTGCGCCCGCTGCCGGACCGCTGGCCCCTGACCCTTGCACGCTAGCCGTCGGGTTCGGACGGGGTCTAGGAAGACCGGCTGTGAGTCAGTCGCCGCTCCAGGCCAGTCAGGGCGCAGCAGACACCCAAGCGCTGCCTAGAGCTCGGCTCCGACCTGCACAGACGAGGGACGCCCCGTCCTCGGCTGTGAGCGTGCGTCCTGGGTGGCGCTGCTGGCGCCGTCTGCCGCCGGGAGGCCGGCCGGGTCAGGGCTGGGTCTGTCGGCGCGGCGTCAGCTGGACCGGCCGGCAGACCCGCAGGCCCGTCATGTGTTCGGGCCCGGGTCTGTCGACGCGGTGTCAGCTGGACCGGCCGGCAGACCCGCAGGCCCGTCATGTGTTCGGGCCCGGGTCTGTCGACGCGGCGTCAGCTGGACCGGCCGGCAGAGCCGCGGGCCTGTCATGTCTGTCACGCCTGCTTGCTCTCTGGCGTCTGCCGCCGGCCATGCCCCCCCCCCCCCCTCCCATCCCTCCTCCCGAGCGCCTGACTGTCGTGCCCTTCTGGTGACGTCTGGTGATCAGCGTTGTCTGACGATATCCCTGTCGGGATCCGTGTCCACGCTAGAGAATGGCTGTCGTGGCCCGTGAGCTGTGCCTGGTAGGCGTGCGGCAGCCGCGTGGTGACGCGCCTCACCCGCCGCCAAATAATGCGTAGGAGTAGCTCGTTAAGATGGCGTTAACGACCTTAACTCCTCAACCGCTCTTCGCTCACGCCGAGTGCCCTGTGCTAACCGCCCTTTAAGCGCCCGCTAACACCTCGTTAACCGGCCGTCCCCTGCCGCAGACGAACGAGGAGCTCCGGCGTCAGCTGAATGCCCAGCAGAAGCTGGTCGAACAGAACAAGTCCAATCTGGACAAGTGTGTGGACATGGTGAAAAAACTGCTCATCGAAAAGAGCAAAATCGAGAAGAAGGAGTGCCGCCAGAAGTGCATGCAGAACCGGCTGCGACTGGGCCAGTTTGTGACGCAGCGGGTTGGGGCCAGCTTCCAGGAGAACTGGACGGACGGCTACGCATTCCAGGAGCTGACCAAGTGAGTGGCCGGTCGCGGCGTGGCGGCCGCTGGGCACGTGCGAGGCTTGCTGCGGCGCGCCGGTGCCAGGCGCCGGCGTGGAGGCCGCCACAGACGCGGTGGAAGAGTGTGTCGTAGACAGGAGTGGCTGTGCGCCAGCTTCCTGAAGCGGGGGGCGGTGATGTATCCGATTCGAGAGGCGTGGTGGTGGTGCTTGTGATGCGACATTGCTGTGAAGGCTGGGTGAGATTGTTACAGCAGCGTGGAGCAAATATGTTGCTCAGTTGCCGGTTTCGCGCGACTTGTTTCGTCATGTTTCGTCTTTGGGCGTCAATGCCCCTCAGGCCGGCCAGGCCCCAGTGATAATAGGCGAGCGATGTGGCTATATCGCTACATTCAGAATGGCATTCGCTTCCTCGTTCTATGATGGCCTGTGGTAATCTGCCGCCCACTCTGCACGATGCATGCGTTATCATCATCTGATTCACAGCCCAGCCTGTAGCCAACATACTGAAGCACATCCCCGTACTGACTTCATCATCGATCTCACACGGTCCGTGCCGGTCTCTCCCCGCTATATTGTCCGTATCATGTCACCTATGTGGCACTATTCGTACCGCGTCGCACTCGTCCCCGACCGCTACATTTCTGTCCTTTTCCGTGCTGTGCAATGCTTCACCTCCCGCCTTCTTCTACGCCCGTCTCCATATCCCTCACAGCCAAGGTAGCCTGGTGTTTCGCCGCTACCCCCCCCCCCCCCCTTCCGCATTGGCGCTGTAAAATGAAGCACTCTCCTCAAATGGCCTGAGTCGCCGCCGTCCCTACCAATCCAGCGACCGACCTGAACCGCGCGTCCCTGCCGCGCTGCGCACGTCCCCGCCGCGCTGCGCATGTCCCCACCGCGCTGCGCGTGTCCCCGCCGCGCTCCCGGTGCGGGTCTGACGCCGCCGTCGCCGCAGGAGGATGGAGGACCTGTCCGCCTCCCGGGAGGAGCTCGACCGCCAGAAGAAGCTGCTGGCCAAGCGGAAGCCGACGAGCGCCGAGAGCGCGCGGAAGCGCGGCGGCGGCGCCGGCACGGCCCAGCAGAACGGCGGCGAGTTCGTGCGGCCCGAGGACCCCGGCCGTCTCAGCGGCCAGGAGTATTACGAGGCGGACGAAATCATCAAGGTACGCCGGCCGGTGCTGGGGCGCTGCGGGCGCGTGACGCGGGTTGGGTGGCACCGTGCCCTCCGCTCCGGCGGTGGCGGTGCGGGAGGGCGCGTGACGCGGGGTGGGTGGCGCGGCGCCCTCCGCGTCGGCGGTGGCGGTGGCGGTGCTGTGGCGGTGCTGGGAGGGCGCGTGACGCGGGGTGGGTGGCGCCGCGCCCTCCGCTCCGGCGGTGGCGGTGCTGGGAGGGCGCGTGACGCGGGGTGGGTGGCGCCGCGCCCTCCGCTCCGGCGGTGGCGGTGCTGGAGGGGCGCGTGACGCGGGGTGGGCGGCGCCGCGCCCTCCGCGTCGGCGGTGGCGGTGCTGGGAGGGCGCGTCGAGCGTCGGCTCGGGCCCAGCCAGGCGCGAGCTGTCGCGGCGGCAGGCGGTGATTTATGGCACGTGTGGAAGATTGTGCGGTGCCCATCACGGTGGGGGCGTGGGCGTGTTTGGTGATTTAGTGATGGTCGTAGGCGGTGCTTCACGCATCGGAGCCCGGGATAGGACCCCGGCTGCGGACCTCGGGGCAGACGTGGGGATGCTGGTGGCCGCAACAGCGTAACGCGCAGCAAAACAGCCTATCAGACGGCATTGTCAGTGGTTGCTTTGGGCGCGTCATGTGTCACACAGAGAGAGGTCACTAGAGTTGTGCCTAGGCTGATGACATCAGCATAAACACCTAGGCTGATGATAGTGTTTGGTGTTTTAAGGTACATCTTCGCTCACATATCGTCCATCAAGGCGCGGGGTGTTGGCGGTCCTTTGGGTGCATCGATTCTAAGGGCGTAATGCGCACAGCGAGGTGTCGGTAGCGCCGGGGCGGCCGGCGACTGGGCGGGATAGACGTCGGGCAAAGCTGGGCCCGAATACTGCAGTGTGGCAGCACGCTTACCATACCAAGTGATCAGCGGGGGCTCGAGTCCGCCGAACGGATTATCTGGCGGCCCAGTGTCACGGCCGGCGTGCGAGGCTGCCGTGTGAAGACATGGGCCGCGGGACGGAGCGGTGTCGAGGCTCCGTCACTCAGCATGTGCCAGCGCTGGCGGCGTCCCTGGACCGGGGCTGCAATTAGCGCGGCGCCTGTGCCGTCGCCGGCCCGGAGTCGGGCGGCCGGGCAGCCGGGCCGGCGGCACTCGATGCACCCGGACGGTGTTAACGGGTCAAGGTGCCCACCGGCGGCCGGCGTCGGCCGGCGGAGCGCTGGCTCACGGCCAGGTCGGCCCGCCGCCGCCGCCGCCGCCGCCGCCGCGGTTCGGCCGGCGCGTCGCCGTTCCCTGCGTAAGATTCCGTCCCTGTTCGCTGCAAGGATTGTCCCCGCTCTCCGTGAGGACTATCCCCGCTCATGAGGACGGACCCCGGTCGTGAGGACGGTCCTCGCTCGTGAGGACGGACCGCGGTCATGAGGACGTCCCCTCTCGCAGGAAACATCCCTGCTTGCTTGTTGTGAGGACGGTGCCGCGCGACAGGGCCGGCTCCCCCCGTAAAGACGACACGAGTGGTCGGACGGACAACGGACGCCACGGACGACGAGCGCCGCGCTGCCCGGGACGGCCGCCAGGGGCTGGGAGTAGGCCGCGGCGCCGCCCGGGACGCTGCACGGTGGCCGGGCGGCGCGTCGCTCCCATCCCCCCCCCCCCCTGGCGGCTCCGTCGCCACGTCAGGCCGGTGGGCGGTGTTGGGCCGGCGTCGGGGTAATGTTGAGCGCAGCCGAGCGCCGATCAATAGGGCCGCGTGGTGCCAGCTCCGGAGACGGCTGGCTGCCGGCGGCGTGCTGGCGGCTGCCGGACGCGGCCGGGCCGCGGCCGGCTCGGCGCCAGCACTGACGGCCCGGCCGCGTGAGGGCCCGGCGCTGAGGGCGGCGCCGGGCTCGCGCCACGCTCGGGCAGGGCCGGCCGTGGCGCCGCCGACGCCGCGCGCGGAGAAAGCCGCCCGCCGGAGAGCCGTGTCCAGACGCCGTGAACCGGCGCCGCACGGCCGGATCACGGTCGGTCCGGCGCTCACGACGATGATAGTCGCTCGGCACACTTGCGCCGGGCGTGGTGTCGCCATGGTAACGGCCCGGTGCGGCGTTGTTATGGATACGTCGCTCGCTGGGCCATCGCGCAGCTGTGCCGGACTGCTTGAGCGGACAGCAAGCACTGCATTCACGTCCGGGTTGCCCACTCAGCTGCGATATGCCGTCAGATTTGTGCAGGAATGGTGCTGGCGTGGGCCGAGCACCAAGATAGAGCTCCTTGAAGACCAGATACCGGAACTTCTGTTACGTCCGTTCGCATCAACGCGCCCTGTGCACGCCCCTGCCCATGGCTGTCGTCCGCCGTCGTCGGCGCGATCTGTCAGCCGGCAGGTCCTGTGCACGCCCCTGGTCGTGCCGTTTGCTCGCCGTCCGTCCGCACCGTGCCCGAAGTCGCGCCGCCGCTAATCGGATTGCGTGACGTCACGGCGCCGCCCCGACTTCAGAGCGTGCCGAATGGGGCCCGCAGCGGCTGCATGTGGGTCACGGCGGGCCGTGTGACCGGGGTCCGACCGAGGTCGAAGGTCGGCCGGCGCGCGCGCCGACGGCCCGGCGGCAGATGTCGCCTCGCCTGCGGTGACGGGCCGCCTGCCGCCGTGTCGAAGATGGGCTGCCCAGCGGCGCCCGCCGACCCCGGCCGCTGTGCTGGTGACGGCTGGTGAGCGGCGCTAGTCGTCAGCGTGGCTCGCTTCAGGGGAGAACTTGGGCTGGGAGGGAGCCGTCTGAATCGACGAGCGAGAGAGTTGTGGACCGCAGTCCTGTAGTTGCCGGCATTGCCTGCGATCTCCTGTCTCCTCGTCCACGCCGTCTGCTTAGCTCCGACGAGCGTTGTATAGCGTTGCCCACACAACCCAACAGACCACGTTTCCAAAGCGCACGTCCAAACGAGTGACCGCCGCACGCGGCACACACGCTGCGGCGCCCGTCGTCGCTCCCCACGTCGTCTGTGTAGTCGGGGTAGTCGGTGCGCTCTAAAGCCCGAATCATCAAGTGACCGGCGTCGTTCGCCTTTGCCGCCAGCTGCGGCAGGCCTCGCTCAAGAAGGAGGACACGGACCTGACGCTGGAGATGGAGAAGCTGGAGCGTGAGCGCAACCTGCACATCCGCGAGCTGAAGCGCATCCACAACGAGGACCAGTCGCGCTTCAACAACCACGTGGTGCTGCACGACCGCTACCTCTTCATCCAGCTGCTGGGCAAGGGCGGCTTCTCCGAGGTGCACAAGGTGCGTGGCGGGGGCGGGGGAGGGAAGTGAGGGGGTCGCCGAGCCGAGCCGAGCCGACGCTAGCCGCCCGCTGTGTTGGGGTCGCGGTCCGCTGGCCCGGCTGGCGGGCTGGTCGGTTTGTTCGGGGCCGTGACTCACGACTGCAGCTGTGGTTCGGCGATGTGGTAGCGCGAAATGTCAGCCGTGTTTGTATGGAAGCTGGAGTTGTTGCGCTACATGCGTCGTGTCGCCTAAAAACGGCAGATTTTTGCGACGGCTGTGTGGCATGTGGGATTTAACTCGGCAAGTTTGGGGCGCTGCGCCGTGTGTCGACAGAATGTCACGACGCTGCCGAAGACATCTCGGGGACGTGTGAAGTGTGGAGGGTGAGCTTCGCCGGGGCAGGTGCTCATTTTTGCATCGTGAAGAATCGGCCTTGGAATCGGGCCAGCAGACTTTCCATCGTTAGCTTTCGCGTCGCCTGCATTGGGAAAAGCCTGTGAACAAGGCGGTGTTAACTGTGGGGGTAAGACGTAGTCGAAGCCCCTGGGAGCTCACCAGATGACGTCACAGTGCTGACGGCGCGTCCCCCTCCCCCCAGGCGTTCGACCTCAAGAAGCAGCGGTACGTGGCGTGTAAGGTGCACCAGCTGAACAAGGACTGGAAGGACGACAAGAAAGCCAACTACATCAAGCACGCACTTCGGGAGTACAACATTCACCGGACGCTGAATCACCCGCGGGTGGTGGAGCACTACGACGCTTTTGAGATCGACTCCAACTCGTTCTGCACGGTCATGGAGTACTGCTCGGGCCACGATCTCGACTTCTACCTGAAGCAGGTGAGGCAGCCGGCGCGGCCGGACGGGGGCGCCGGCTGCGGGCGGGCGACAGGCGCCGGCAGGTCCCCGGACCCGACACGAGCTCCGCTCTGCGGCGAGCGCCGGCAGGTCCCCGGACCCGACACGAGCTCTGCTCGGCGGCGGGCGCCGGCAGGTCCCCTGACCCGACACGAGCTCTGCTCGGCGGCGGGCGCCGGCAAGTCCCCTGACCCGACACGAGTTCTGCCCGGTGACCTGGCGCGGCGGGAGGGTGTGGGAGCGGGTGTCGACGCGTTCCGTTCGCTCCCGGACCGTCTCCGCCCCGTGGCCGGGCAGTCCGAGAGCGAGGTGTACAGGTGTGGACGCCAGCTGTCCGCCGTCGCCTGACGCCCCCTCCCCCTCCCCCTGCCCGGCAGCACAAGGTGATCGGCGAGCGGGAGGCGCGCTCCATCATCATGCAGGTGGTGTCGGCGCTCAAGTACCTCAACAGCATCCACCCGCCGGTCATCCACTACGACCTGAAGCCCGGTGAGCGTGGCGGCGCGCCGCCGGGCGACCGCCGCGGGGAACCGTCACCCCTCGCCCGTCACGGCCGCGCCGGAGTAACGCTAGTGGCGGAGCGGGCGGCGAGCGCCGACGAAGGCCGACAGCGGGGGGCGCCGACCGGTGACGGAGGCCGGTCGGCGGCCGCCACTGTAGCCCTGTCGGCACCGACGGCGGGGGTGATAAGCGTCGATTTGCTCGGCGAAGGGCGGGGTGACGGGCGCGTGACGGCGTCACTTGTCACGCTCCCGGATGTGGCGTCACCGAGTCACCGCTGGCTTGGGACGCGGCGTTACGGCCTATTGCCGCCCGCCAATAGGTGTTTGTTCTGAGTCGGGATTTGTGGTTGGCTCGATGTGTAAGCACGGTGTAAGTCTATGTTTAGTTTCCGAGGCACTAGACCGCTAGTTTGTGGGTCAGATGTCCTTCCGGGTCCGGTGCTGTAGTATTCGCCAAACGTCGGCATTACCGTGACTTTTGCGTCATTCCTTGTGGGACGTGGTGCCGACCAATTTCCTTGGTTGCATCGCACTAGACGTGACGTTGGCCCATTCCTCAGCGTGGTATTCGTCCTTGACACATCTCGTGTCCTTGCCTCCAAGCGTGACCTGGACCTGTGACCGCAGGTAACATTCTGCTGGTGGACGGCGACGTTCTGGGCGAGGTGAAGATCACCGACTTCGGGCTCAGCAAGGTGATGGACGACGACAACTACAACCCCGAGCACGGCATGGACCTGACCTCGCAGGGCGCCGGCACCTACTGGTACGTACCGGCACGGCTGGACCCTCTGGCATGGCGCCGTGCCCGGCGACATGGCGCACCAAGGCCCCGCGACATGACCCTCCAGGCTCTGACGTGGGGCCCAGCCTGGTGACATGGCACCGGGCCCTCCTGGCACGGCGCCCACAGACCGTGGCGGGGTGCCGTGGGCTCCATGTCGGTTGGTTTATGCTACCGCGGTCTCGTGCGTGGCGCTGTGCCCTGATGGCGAAGACCTCAGCTCTGCATCCCAGCGCCGCGCTGTCCTGGTCTGCCACCGATGTGTCAGCGCATGCCGTGACTCACCCTGGCGATGTACCGGGGACCCTCCGGCCAGCGCGCGGCGGCGGGGTCGCGCCGTGTCGCTAGCTGCGGTTGTGAACTCCACTGTAACCCACGGCCCGGTGGTCGGACACTCCTGTCGGTGGACTCCTCCGGCTGGGCACTCCTGTCGGACACTCATGTCGGTGGACTCCTCCGGCTGGGTACTCCTGTCGGAACTCCTGCCCACTGGCTCCCTTGTTTGAGAGGTGGCCTCTGTGTATCATGAGCCGTGCTGTGCGTCCTTGGGCGCTACTTATCACCAGCCGGCGGTGTGGCCACCTCTGACAGTCGGGCGTCGCTCTGGCGCCTCTCGCTCCCGCCCCCTGCCCCGCCTCTCTGACGGTGCGGTGCCGTCCGCAGGTACCTGCCGCCCGAGTGTTTCGTCGTCGGCAAGAACCCGCCCAAGATCTCCAGCAAGGTGGACGTCTGGAGCGTGGGCATCATCTTCTACCAGTGTCTGTACGGCAAGAAGGTGAGCTTCCGCGCCGGCGTTCTCCGCGGCCACCGTGGGGCTTGCCCATGGCGCCGTCGCGGGGTATACCCGGCCCCGCGCGGCTGTAGCTGGCTGGCAGGGCCCGTGATTTCCGGCATGATATCACAATGTTCGGCACGCGCGGCAGACGCCTGCGGCGGGAAGTTAAGGCGATTGGCGGCGGGTGCCGGGAAGCGGGTACAACACGGCTGTCGGCCCGCCGGAGCCCGGCATGCAGCCGGGGTGAACGTCCGGGGTAGTAAGAGGACGCTGTGAGCTCTGAAAAAGGACATTACCTCTCAGCGGAGTGGGACAGCTCATAAAAAGGGCAAGAAGGGTGTTGTGAGCTCTGTGGCTGGTGATAATCGGCCTTGGACGTGCCAGGTGGAGTAATGGGTTAAAACAAGGCCGAGAAATCGTGCAAATATGGTGTTGAAGTGCTCAAAGCGTCCGGCATTGTCCGTGGTCGCAGTTCTGACATGGAGAGATAGGCGCCCAAGGTCTTCTGGTTGCCTGAGGTGGGAAAGTCCGATGTGTTTACGCTCACTTGACGCTGGCCGGATGCATGCAGCGGGCTTCGGTCGGGCCTTGGGGCGTCTCAGGCGAACCTTTGCATGCCACTGACCCGATGCGTGCCTTTCAGCCGTTCGGCCACAACCAATCTCAGGCAACCATCCTAGAGGAGAACATCATTCTGAAGGCCAAGGACGTGCACTTCCCCAACAAACCCACCGTGAACTCGGAAGCCAAGGTGCGTGCTGCGGCCGGGTGCTCTGGGCAGCGTCCGTCTCGTATGCCCGCGCTGTGCCGCCCCCGCGCCCTGGCGGTGGCTCTTCTTAGGCTCGCCATCACAAGTGCCGCACGCACCTGGTAATGGGTGTCCCCGGTCGGCAGGCGCTCTGTTGGGATTGTATTCCCGCTGTGGTGGCGGCTCTCCGCTGTTGCCTCGCCGCGGCTCGTGAGGGCGTGACCCGCGGATCATGTCTGCACCCGTACCGCTGCCGTGTCGTCCCCCGCGCACCGCTCCCGTCTCCCTGCGACTCGCCAGGGATCATGTCTGCACCCGCACCGCCGCCGTGTCGTCGTCGTCGTCCCCCCCTCCCCCCCCCCGCTCCCGTCTCCCTGCGTCTCGCCAGGGATCATGTCTGCACCCGCACCGCCGCCGTGTCCCCCCCCCCCTCCCCCCCCCCCTGCCGCACCGCGCGCCCGGCGGGTCTGACAGTGGCGCCCTCCCCGGCAGGCGTTCATCCGCTGCTGCCTGCAGTACCGCAAGGAGGAGCGGTACTGCGTGCGTTCGCTCGCCGAACACCCGTACCTGCAGCCGGCGGCCGGCAAGCGACAGAGCGGCGGCGGCGGCGTGGCCGCTGCTGCCGCGGCCGCTGCCGCCTCCTCCACCTCCACCCCCTCGCAGACGGCCTCGAGCGTGCAGACGGCGGCCGGCAACTCCAACAACTCTGGCGGCGCCGGTGTGGTCAGCACCTCGTCCAACTCGTAGCGAGGCCCGGCGGCCCGCCGCGCGCGGGCGCCCCCCTGTGCTGTGACTTCAGTGTGATATGGACGGCCGCGGCGTGCGCAGCGTCGGAAGGGGCGGCCGACGCTCGGCGGAAGCTCCGCCGGGGAAAGTACGTAATTTACTCATTATTTAACGCGTGTGCGCGGCGGCGGCCGCGGCGTCGTATGCAATGTACAGACTGGCGGCCGATTCGGCCCAGACCTTGTTGTGTTTCAGTCAAATATATCAAAATTGTTTGTTGGCGTCGTTTGAGCGGCGGCGGGTGCGAGACCGCCGACCGAAGGCGGAGAGGTTGGTGTGACGTCCGCCCGGTGGAGCTGTCCCGCCGCGGTCTGCGGTCATTTCTTGGCTGATGCAAGCGTGCTCCGTCGCCGTGGCAGGATGATCCTGCTCGTCAGTGGACTGGCGACGAAAACTGAACGTTTTCCAGGTAAAGGTAGTGGGTAGTATTAATGAAGTACAATGCGTCTACAGAATCTGGGATAGGGCTAATGTCGCTCAAGTAGTTGCTTCGTTACGTGTACAAAAATGCTCTCGGTTCTGCCTCAACTTGCATGTGACCCTCCCTGTAAGACCGTATAATACTCTCGGGATTAAAATCTCGTGTCCAGCCGGCCGCAGCGCCGTGCCAGGGGAGCAGGGCTCACGTCATGGCGGCGCGGCGTCCGTTGCATTACACTAACCACGGGCTATTCCTGCCGTCACGTGAAAGGTATGCCACAGCCAGCGGTACGAAAACTGGTTTGGGTTGGTTGCGATTAGAGCCACTGCGGTCAGTGGTGTCCATTTGGGAGCTGTGGCATGAGGGAGATATGAGATCCGGGGCAGGACTGCGGTCGTCACGGGAGGCGTCCGCTACCGAGCCGCGCCGGCAGGCGGCTTCGCCCGGTTTGGTCGTTTGGATTAGAGCCCTCTCGGCAATCATGAAACTTTCAGTGATGCGGGATGAAGGGGAGCGGGTACCGGCGGGGCAGAACCAGACGGATCTGAAGGTCCAATTTCCCTGCCCGTCCCCGCCCAAGGACCTCTGTGCGAGACGTATGCTAGGCGCTCTTACAGGAGAACGGTACGCATGGGGGCCACGAGGCCGGGGATGAGGCGGTGTGCCGGAAGAGCGGTGCGGATGGGGGGGGGGGGGTGCGGGGGCCGAGGATGAGGCAGTGTGTCGGAAGAGCAGTACTGATGGGGGAGGGATGCAGGGGCCGAGGATGAGGCAGGGTGTCTGAAGAGCAGTACGGATGTGGGGAGGGATGCGAGGACCGAGGATGAGACGGTGTGTCTAAAGGGTAGTACGGAGGGGGATCGCGGGGCCGAGGATGAGGCAGGGTGCCGGAAGAGCAGTACAGATGGGGGAGGGATGCGAGGGCCGAGGATGGGGCAGTGTGTCGGAAGAGCAATACGGATGGGGGAGGGATGCGAGGGCCGAGGATGAGACGGTGTGTCTAAATGGTAGTACGGATGGGGACCACAGGGGCCGAGCATGAGACGGTGCGTCGGGAGGGCAGTCCGGGTGCAAAGGCTAACCACCTGGTGCAAATGACGCCTACAGCGCCCTGGCAGGCGAACTACATCGCATTCCATTGCGCTGTACTCCGCCGCGTTTTACGACATGGTTATGTACACCGGTCTGGGCCGGAGGTCGAAGGGAGATCTTTCGTGGGGCCTACTGGGGCGGCAGGGTGGGCTGCAGTGATTTCCGGCGTGGCTCTAGCACCAGTGAGTGTCTCGGCGCCCATGTTTCGCGTTTAGCGCCATCTCACAACGAGGCTTGGAAGTACAGGTGCGATGTATGTTCGGGATGTGATGGCGCTAGCCGTCGGAAATTTGTGGAAACTCGCGTACTGTCCCCCACTGCTCTTGAAAGTTTATCACAGTTTGGAAAATCCATGGATTTGGAGCTAATTCGCGGTTTTCTTGTACCATGCAAGGAGAGCCACATATGAGGAGATGAAAAACGTCGTTTCAGGCAGGCTGAAAGTACCAACGTCCATTTTAAAAACAATAAGGATGCCCATATATGCCGCAGTTGCCATGTAATTTGAAACTGGGCTGGTAGATGACTGGCTTCATAGATTACTTTTGATGCGAACGTCCACTTCTGCTAGCAATATTGCTCCGATTATAAGTGGTGGTGCAATTTGATCTTCCATTCAACAAAAATGGTTGTCCTAAGCACACTACAAATGTCACTGGGTCTCCTGTTTTCGTGCCATTTCACATGATCAACACACGGAAATAGCTGCGTCTGCTCACAAGCCACAGGGATCCGGAGCCCATCGACCGTACTGGTTGGTACGCTTATGGTTGCGAGTTTGTGCAATTTGTGGCGCGGCCATTCCACACCCACCAAATGTGTAATTTTGCATACCACCGTATCATATCTTGAAAAAAATCACGAGAATGTTATTTCGTGCTCTGGTCCCAATTCAAAGCTTTTAGACGTCTGCGCATAGTCGTTTTCTGCTGATGATGATGCAGAAAATGACGTCATGGCGGAAATGCCATTTGTTACATCAAATGGCCCTTATTCTGCAGTCACAGCATAGATCGGCCGGCACCGGTGCTGCCGGCGGTTGCCGGTAGCTGGCTCCCGGTGGTAGCTGTCAGTTGTCGTCCCAGAAGAACGACTCCAGACGGACTGATTCATTGCCTGAAATATGAGAGCGCAGCGGTAATCGGCCTTCTCCCTCACATCCCGTGCCATGGGTCACCCCAGCTGTCTCTGTGGCTCAGTCAACGGCGTGAGCTTTGTCCGAATACATGGTTCCACATGGCCAGTGATTATGAAGAGCCAATACAATTCAAAGGTAGGGTTTGCGCTAACCCGCTTAACCTGAAGATTGAAGCGACCAAAAGAGAGCTGCGACCTAGTCACCAAAAAAAGTCATTGTTGGCGACCACCGGCTCCTGAGACTTGCACCGGTCAGTGAAAAGGTATGTGCAGAATGCAGAAAAGGAGGCCCGATGGAGGGTGCCGAGGTCATTCATCCGCCACATACGAGCTCGCCGACCAAACCGGACCCGTCTCCGTCTGCCCGTCGAGCTTGCTCCCACCGCCGGGTGCCTCAAATCTTCAGGTCCGTTACACCGGGGTCCAGGGTCAGCTCCGCACAGCGGTCTTCTGAACAGTCAGCAGCCTCCCCAGCAGTTATTTGAGAAGCTGAACCTTCGTTATCGCTCACACAAATGCCAGCAACTTAAGTTGTGCGTATAGTTTTACAGTATGCACAGCTGGCCGTATGTATTTTCGGATCCGTCAGAACTCAGTCAATTTATTCAAAGTTTTGCGTGCTTTTCCTCATGTGGATCGTGGCACCAAACCTGGAGGCAGTTTTCTGGATTTCATTGGACACAGTAAAAGAATGCGTTGTTTGGTCGCGAATGGTGTGGATGGTTGATAAAATTTGCTTACAATATTCGCCATCAGTTTGTCGTGCAGTGCAATGTACAGGTGTGTTTACATGTCTTTTTCCTCGATGTCGGCCCCGTATGAAACAGAATGCTGTTTCCATGTTTTACTTTCACCGACTCTCGTTTCCTTTGTATTATCTGGCGTCGTTTGAGGTTACTTAGAAAACAGCACATTTTCGGGAGGACGCTCTTTAACCCAGGGTGTCCTTTCCAGTCATGTGATATCTATTCGATTTGGACATTTATAGATCCGATTGGCAACATTTCTGATTTTGTTCATTATCCAATGTCACTTTGGTGCGAAATTGATTACGCGCTTACCAGTGACGTGACACAGATGCATTAACCTTTCAACGTAGACGACAATTAAAAAAGAATACCTCATCACGTAGTCTAATCTTCAGTAAATCTTGAATCTTGGATACGGTTTTTCATGAATTTCCCTTGCAGCAGACAGATGCAAACCAGCTGTCAGTTCAGCAGTACAGAACGGCGTTTCTCCGATGTCAGTCATGACACACCCAGATCCTCCCCGGCGATCAGGCTGTTAAGAGCGTCTTCGAATGAATTTAGCATTTGCGTGACCGATGCTGAAGGTCCACACGCATGGCTGCTGAGGAGGCTGGTGGTTGTTCAGGAAGGCCGCTGTATGGAGCTAACCCTGGGCCCCGGTATAACGGATCCTGCAGATTTGACGCGTCCGGCTGTGCAAGCAAGCTAGATGGGCAGACGGAGACGGGTCCGGTTTTGGTCGACGAGGTCGTATGTGGCAGATGAATGACCTCAGCACCCTTCATCGGGGCCTCCTTTGCAGCATTCTGCGCACACCTTGTCACTGACTGGTGCAAGTCTCAGGAGCTGGTGGTCGCCAACAATGACCCTTTTGGTGACAGGTTGCAGCTCTTTATTGGCCGCCTTAAGCTTCAGGTTAAGCGAGTCAACGCAAACCCTGTCTTCTGCGGTAAATTGGTGGTTCATTATCCCTGTCCACGTGGAACCGTCTATCCAGACGAAGCTCACGCCGCTAACTGAGCGACAGCTGAGACGACCGATGTCATTGGCTGTGAGGGAGAGGGCCGATAACCGTGATGCTATCGCCTTTCAAACAATGACTCCAGCCGTCTGGAGACGTCCATCTGGACAAGCGCGGGAGCGGGCCGACCACTGCCGGCAGCATCGGCGCGGGCCAGGCCGGCCGGCCGGCAGGAGCTGGGCAGCGCACGGGGCCGGTCGGCAGGGGCTGGGCAGCGCGCCGGGCCGGCCGGCCAGCAGGGGCTGGGCAGCGCGGGGCCGGCCGGCCAGCAGGGGCTGGGCAGTGCGCGGCGCCGGCCGGCAGGGGCTGGGCAGCGCGCGGGGCCGGCCTGCCGGCAGGGGCTGGGCAGCGCGGGGCCGGCCGGCCAGCAGGGGCTGGGCAGCGCGGGGCCGGCCGGCCGGCAGGGGCCGGGCAGCGCGGGGCGGCCGGCCGGCAGGGGCCGGGCAGCGCGCGGGGCTGGCCGGACGGCAGCTCCGCGCCGCGCCGCGCCGGTCCGCCCGGTTGTGATCGCATCCGCACTGTTCGGGTGAATGGCGAGTCTCTACTCCTTTAAGGATAATTCCGATAAATAATTTAACGTAAATTCCGAAAATCGAGGTTTTTAACAAATCAAAAGTGCGATCAAAGTAGGAAATTGTGTCGTGGCAGAAAAGCATAGTTATTCAACCTTGGCGCCAAAAATTAACTTTCCTTTATGTCACCATTCAGGGCATAGCATTGCCCACACATCGCCGATTTCCAATGGAACAGCTGCTGTGGTTGCGAAGTTATAATTTGGCTTACGGTATTTCCATT